CAGCACGCCCAAGTTTAAGAGGTGAAGAGAGATTTTTTTCAAGGGTAAAAAACTCGTAGCTTAAATCGATCATGTTTTACTACCTAGCCAATTGCAGTTTTCATGCGCTATGTTAGTTTGGATAATTCAGTGGATTATTCTCTCCTCTCCCTCTTGGCTTACAGGCGGCGCGCCCAAGTTTAAGAGGTGAAGAGAGATTTTTTTCAACGGTAAAAAACTCGTAGCTTGAATCGATTATGTTTTACTATCTAGCCAATTACAGTTTTCATGAGCTATGTTAGTTTGGATAATTCAGTAAATTTTTCTCTCCTCTCCCTCTTGGCTTACAGGCGGCACGCCCAAGTTTAAGAGGTGAAGAGAGATTTTTTAAGGTAAAAAACTCGTAGATTGAATCGTCATGTTTTAGCTAGCTAGCCTATTGCAGTTTTTATACGCTGTGTTAGTTCGGATAATTCAGTAGGTTATTCTCTCCTCTCCCGCTTAGCTTACAGGCGGCGCGCCCAAGTTTAAAAGGTGAAGAGAGATTTTTTTCAACGGTAAAAAACTCGTAGCTTGAATCGATCATGTTTTACTACCTAGCCAATTGCAGTTTTCATGCGCTGTGTTAGTTCGGATAATTCAGTGGATTATTCTCTCCTCTCCCTCTTGGCTTACAGGCGGCACGTCCAAGTTTAAGAGGTGAAGAGAGATTTTTTAAGGTAAAAAACTCGTAGATTGAATCGTCATGTTTTAGCTAGCTAGCCAATTGCAGTTTTCCTGCGTTGTTAGTTTGGATAATTCAGTAATTTTTTCTCTCCTCTCCCTCTTAGCTTACAGGCGGCGCGCCCAAGTTTAAGAGGTGAAGAGAGATTTTTTTTTCAACGGTAAAAAACTCGCGAAGATTTCACGCATAAGTAGGAAAACTCCAAAACAGATGTTTTCTATTGTTTTGACTTCTCCCGTTTTTTATCTCGTATCTCAACAGTATTAGATTTTATTTGGGGCCACAAACCATCCAAGATAAAATACACTACGCTCATCAAAACAAGGCAAGAGGGAAGCTTAGAGATGAAAGAATTTTCTTTATTTAACAAGGCTTTAAAGCTAAATTGGGTTAAGCGACTTTGCTCAAACTCAGACGCTCCGTGGCAGTACATCTCGAAGTCCTATCTAGCGAATGTTGGGGGCCCAGAGCTCTTCAAATGTAACTATGACATCGGTCACCTTACAGGGGCACGCAACGAGAATATAGTTCAAAAGTACTTAAACATGGCATTGTTAAACGTATTTTAGTATTTAAACGGTAGAAATAGGCATATTTTTATCCCCTAAAGATTTTTCATCTGTTTGGACTTCCTAGCGGAAAGTCTAGTGATCCGAAAATTATAAGGATCAAAACTTACCCTTTCGAAAATTTCAGGCAGAAAAAAGGCTCCTGAAAATTCTAGGTGACCTTTTTAGGGTAAAAATCCGTTAAAAATGGGCAATTGTACCATTTTTTACACGTTCGAAAATGCTAGTGGAGGCAGGCAAGCAAGAACTTTTACAACAAATGTTCCGAAAATTCTAGATCTCAAGTCGTCTTCCGAACAGATATTTTTCCGTAATTTGACGTTGGGTGCCCCTGACCTTAATCTAAGCAAATGCCTTCCAGCTTTTTATCACGAAATAATCAAATTTTAGCAAGACCTAATAGCTTCTAACCCAAAAAGCAAAAACGATGTTCTTGAACAGATAGTTTGGAATAATAAGTTTATGGTCTGATAAGAAATCAATGTACTTGCAGCATTGGCGTTACGCAGGAATTCTAAAAATTAAGGACCTCTTTGATACACAGAGAAAATGATGCTTTCCGTCCTTCGACTCTTTTCGTAATAAATTTAACGTAAGATGTAATTTCTTACAGTACTTTAGCCTTGGTAACGCCATCGCTCAAAGTTGGAAAAAACTTCTTAATTGCTCCCTCGAACAAAGCTCAACACCGCAAATATTAATAGATGAAATGACTTGCAAAAAATTTATACTAAGCTGCTGTCTATTAGATCAAAGCCTCCGCCGACTTGTGAGAAAAGACTCTTAAATTTTGGCTACCAGAAGGATGATTTGAGAAAATTATATCTATTGCCTATTGAAGTAACGAAAAAAGTAAAGCTATCAATGTTCCAGTACAAAATTATACACAATGTTCTGTGCACTAAGAGCTTATTATTTAAAATGAAGAAAGAAGACTCCCCACGCTCCCCTTTTTGTCTACATGCACGCAAGCCACTTTGTTCTGGAAGGAGTTTCTGGATTGGGCCTCGCGCCATGGGTTATTACACAATTTATGAGGAATCATGCATTCTGGAAATAGAAAACTAAAAAAGTAATAACTACGAGACAATTCGATTTTGATTCCCTCCAGTTCGGCTTTGTCATCTTCACTGTATACTGTATGGTGGCCTAGGAGTGCCTTGACCGTTTGCCGATAGTCTCTGCACAGTCAAGAAGCCTTCAGATGCACTGGGTTAGCTTTATCGCTCTTTGCACCTACCCGTCTCTTTCCTTGGCGCTCCTTGTAGTCGTCCCATTGCTTACGTTTGACATGATTGAAACAGAGAAATCATGCAAACATCGCTTAGGAGCCACGCAAAAGATCAGCGAAGTGCATTGTGGGCTCTGGCATCGATAGGCCATGAACAACATTTTTTTTTTTTAGAAAAACCTTATGGCACTGCTAGGCCAAGGAAATATTATTTTCGTTTCATTTTACTTTTGCTTAAAAATTATTTTACTTTACTTTCTATTTTTTTCGTTTAAATTTGATTTAAAGTATCTCGATAATAATTTTTTTTCGTTTAAAGTTTAAAAATAAAATGAAATAACATAATAAATTACGGGGAACTTACAAGATACTACACAATTTTCTTATGGCACTCCTAGGCCACCATAATACTGTCTGAAGTTAAGCGCTCAGTTGAGCAAACCTAGATGTGACGAGTTTCTCTTCATCGCAGTTACGCTTTACTTTCAATTTAGAAAACCGAACTGTCAAGCCTCTGATCTCCATCTTGACCATTTCCCAAAGCAGACCTTTGTCTTCGACCTCTTTCTACTTTTCAACGAATTCTGGAAAAATATTAGAGCGTAATAAAGCTACGTATTAATTTTCAGATAACAAAGAATTATTAAACCTCCAACAGCCTGGACCGCGAGGCGCGGTTTCTTCATCAAAACAGATGGTGAGAATTAAAGCAGAATGATCTAAGAAGATGTTGGGCATGATTCTGCATTCTTGAATTAACTTTTGCAAAACTTTTGGGATGAAAAAA